GTTTATGTGTGGGAGCTACAGCAGCTAATCGCTAACAAAACCTAAACTAGCTTCAAAGTCGATGTATTTCTAACACTCACCGCTCACACAGGCTCCTCCTTACATCACAAGTCTGCACTAATAAATGTCCTTTTAATCCAGACTCAAACCGATTGTCCGTAAAAAGAATATAATCTCAGTGTTGCGCACGTCTGCGGGTGTAAACAAACACACGTGAGTGAAGTGACGTCACTCTGGGGGTGTGTTCAGGGACAGTACGGACACAGACACAAATTAAACCGCAGATAAATACTGATGCGGAGCCACATATGAGGACATTTATCTGTGTGTAAATTGGATTAAATGAACATAATGTAGAGAGTCTAAGCTTTATAACGAGGTATAACATGCCCACGTGAAATATCGGCCCATATCAGCGAGCATATCGGCCGATAGCCGATATGTCTCCAGGTGCCCGTATTGGCAGATAATATCGGCCAGCCGATATATCGGTCGGGCTCTAGTTTCTATTGCTCAAAAATAAAATAAGTCTGTCTGAATAGGATTGCCTCTACACAGAGCTGACCTGTAATGTAGCCTATAGTAGTCTCCCTTGAGATAGATACATTTAATCTCTAGTATGGAACTAGACAAAGCAATAACATCGCCATGAAGATAAGCAGGTGACGCACGCTCCACTAGTAAAGTTACATAATGCACCTTTAAATGAAAGGTAAACTAAAAAAAGTAAACTGTTTTCAATGTAAATGAGTCTCACTTGGTCCTTTGATGATGATCTTGAGCTCTCCGCTGCCGGCGTTCTTCGTGTCGACTTTAATGTCTCCGACTTGATTCACTCGGAGTCCTGAAGGCTGCAGCCCCCGACCGCTCGCTCTGCACGCTCCAGGGACACAGGCTACAGGGAGCACAGATGCAGACAGGGTGTAAGGGCGTCTGACTCAAACAAAAGGAAAGTTATCATCGTCTTAAACTGGCTTGACGCCCATCATCCCACACCATCATCCCACAGCATTTATTATAATCACGCTGGATTTGTGGACTGTAATGTTTGTGCAGGGGACGTGCATGACTTGACTGTGCATTAGTGAGTGTTTGAGGGAGGATGAGCGCTGTATACAGAAGTGAACTAATGGAGTGTGATGTCACCCATAGTGTTCGGCTCCAGTCAAATGAAGCTCACTGGGGCCTGCGGTTATAGTGGTGAATTTGGAGCAGAGTTTCATATTTGGAATTCCAACCATGAGTAGAGGCAGGGGCGTTGAACTGGGGGAGTAAAAGGTACTGTTTACCAAGGGCCCACTGCAGGGAGGGGCCAGTCACAAAGTCTGCAATACACATTCTTCACCACACAATGACATGTAAGAGGGCCCACTGAGATGATTTGTACCCAGTACTATGTATATATACAGTCTATGGGTTTTAGTTTTAGTTTAGTCAAATGAGTTTTGATTTAGTCAGTTTCACAAAATAAATTTACAATAATGACTGATAATAATCCCCCTGTCCTGAAGCAAGAACTTGCTGTCCACACTAAAGGAGATTATGCAAATTCCTCAAACAAATGCAACAAGGAGAATGTTGTGATTAATATTTTAAATTTTTTCCTTTAGAAACAACATTTTGTCCAGCATCTTAAAATTGCAGTTCATACCTGGAGCGATGTCAACGTTGAAGGGGCTCTTGGGCACAGCAGTACCCCCAAAGGTCACAGTGATGGCGTGCGGTCCGGACTGGGTGGGTTTGTAGGTGCAGCGATACACACAGTCTCCTCTGTCCTCCATCATAAGCTCCACACTGTTCTGTCTGCCCTGAGGATCACGCACCATCACAGTCACATCTCCTGTGCCTGCACCTGAAGGACACAAGACAGACAGGGGATTGTTTATTCATTTATACAGGAAGATAAAAATAAAAAATAAATATTTGTTGTTAATTGTGTGACAAAATGCTGCTTTTTTACATTGTCCTTTTTGGAGGAAAACACAAAATTTACTCAGGTACCCCGAGGTAACACTTTTGCTCAACTTGTTTACATGTTTACTTTGCACAATGATACAGTTAATCAACAGTGAGATGGAAAAAAGAGAAAGCAGATAAGCATTATATCAGTGAGTAGTGTATTTTCAGTGGATTTATACGTCATACATCTGAAGCCCATTAGTAGGCCACCAGACTTACATCTGCTCCTGTTTTTATTTTTTTCCCTCAGTGTCTGTTCTTCTGAAGCCGACTTCGTGATAATCTATTGCTTTCACTGACCTGCCATATAGCTGCATTTGACAGCACAACATTCTATAGGCCAGTAATATTTAATACAGATGAGGGGCAGCTAAAATCAATACAGTTAGAATGTAACATAGCAAGTTACTGGGTCTAGTCACCAATAGAAAAGATTAGATTCAACATTTGTTAATAAAGGAATATTTTATGTGATATGATATTTTATGACAAAGTACAATGTTATTCATAGAGAAATCTGTCTCTTGCCTCCCATCTGGGAGTATGACTTGTTATGTCATTCAGGAATGTGAAAACAACCAATAGATGCATTCACTTACCTGCTGTATATGTGTAAATGTCTCTCATGGTGCATTCACTTACCTGCTGTATATGTGTAAATGTCTCTCATGGTGCATTCACTTACCTGCTGTATATGTGTAAATGTCTCTCATGGTGCATTCACTTACCTGCTGTATATGTGTAAATGTCTCTCATGGTGCATTCACTTACCTGCTGTATATGTGTAAATGTCTCTCATGGTGCATTCACTTACCTGCTGTATATGTATAAATGTCTGTCATGGTGCATTCACTTACCTGCTGTATGTGTGTAAATGTCTCTCATGGTGCATTCACTTACCTGCTGTATATGTGTAAATGTCTCTCATGGTGCATTCACTTACCTGCTGTATATGTGTAAATGTCTCTCATGGTGCGTTCACTGACCTGCCGTATAGATGTCAAAGTGTGTGGGTCTGTTGGCGATGTTTCCCACAGGCTCGATTCCCGGCCCCTTCACTGTCACTTTGGAGGCGTCGCCCAGAGCCTTGTCCACGTTCACCTCAAAGGGACTCTTAGGGATCTCCTGCCCAGCGAAGAGCACCGTCACCTGGGCACAGCACACAACACAGGCCCCTGAGCTGGAGGTACAGTCTGGAAGTTCTGTTTTTCAGAATAAACATTTACTAGATAATAATTTTGTTTAAAATAAATTTGGGAACTAAATATTAAAGGTCCGTCACCTGTTGGATATGGATATGCCATTGCTCTGTCTGGAATATTCCACAGTATGATATTAAACCTTACATTTATTTAATTACAGTGTGCCAGTGTTTTTATAGTTCAAAATACTTGGAAAAACAGCCATTCTGACTGTGAGCGAGGTCGCATCTCCACAGATATGACCTGTAGCTTGGTCTGATTTTGTCTGGAATGTTTCACAATATGGCATTAAACCTTTCTATCTTCATGGTGACAAAGAAATAACATCTTAATAGAGAAAATCATTTGACAGATCCTCCACCAGAAAAGTTCCACAATGCACCTTTAAATACATTTTTGCTACTAAACTGTGTAATATAATAGTATATAGTTTAGCATTAGCTACTGTTGCTATTGTCACTTTTTGGCAATTTCAGTACAAATTATGAGCAGGTTTCTGGTCAAAACCATCTGAACGTCAGAATCTAAGTGTGTGCTGCCCTCATTAGCCTCTGCAATTTCAAGAAGTTGGTGACGTCACAAAAGACTGCCTTAATACAAACACCTGGCTGTAGGGGCGGAGTTTACCCGTCTGGTTACTTGTTCAACCTATCACAATATTCCTGTTATGTTTTGATTTGTTTGTCTTGTGAATTTAGTGTCTTTCTTATTCTGTCACATCCTATACAAATAAACATGCCTTGCCTTGCCTTCCTTATACCTTTAGTCCCACTTTAACTTATGACCATACGATCTTGAGAATGCCTTGATCTTGTTTAATCTCTGAAACTAAGCAGGGCTGAGGCTGGTTAGTACTTGAATAGGAGGAATACCAGGTAGTGCATGGGGCAGCAGTCGGCAATTATTTTTTCCATGGTGCCACATGAGAAACTGAAAATATTGTGGAGGACCAGGCCAAAATTCTTAACTAATTTCTGCATAATATTAGTTGTATTTCTTTATTTTAAAAAAAGCAGTCTATATCATTAAGCAATGAAAAAGTGAGGTTGCCTTACAAAAATTTAATTTAAAAAAAACACATCTAAAATAAAAGCAATGCCACTTTAGTCAATGCATGAGGTAAAATGACAAAATATGTTCACTTTGTAATTCCTAATTATCTTAAATGGGCTGGTCAGAGTCAACCCAAGGGCCGCACATGGCCCGGGAGCTGTACAATGCTCATGTCTGAGTTAGTCAGTGTTGGGAAGGTGACTTTTAAAATGTATTCCATTACAGATTACATACACCAAAATGTAGTTTTTATCGTAATCCATTAAAATACTTAAGATGAGTAATGTAATCTGAATACTTTGGATTATTTAATTTGCTGTAGAGAAGCAAAGACAAGGAAATCTTCACATAAGATGTTTTGTCTTCTAAAAGAAAATGAAAAGTCCAGACTTTACTCAGCCAAATGAAAAATATTATTGATAGAAGAAGAGAAGACACAGTCCGCACAGCATGGTTTAGTCCTGGTTTAGTCCTGGTTTAGCCCTGGTTTAGCCCTGGTTTAGTCCCGGTTTAGTCCCGGTTTAGTCCCGGTTTAGTCCCGGTTTAGTCCTGGTTTAGTCCTCGTTTAGTTTCCGGCAATGAGTTGAATTACCGAGGGGAAAAAAAAAAAAAAAAGGGATACAGCCCAAAATGTGAAAACAGGAAAATACCTCTTTGTATTCCATTTATTCCAACAAAGTAACTGTAATCCAATTACCACTCACTGAAACAGTAACTGTAAGATAATACAGTTACTCATAATTTGTACTCTGATTATGTAACTCCGGTACATGTAATCTGTTACTCCCCACCACTGGAGTTAGTGCATACTTTTGATATGTCCTTAGGCAAGACACTTCACCTACATTGCTTTGTATGAATGTGGTGTCTGTCTTGCATCAGTAAGTCTGTCCCAGGGCAGATGTGTGCGAAATTAACTCTAGTGACTTTGAAGACATGTCATAATGTTGTTATCTCCTGAAAAACAGACCTGGAGTTGTGTTTTGTTTCCATCACACATGTTTGAGTAACTCTTTATTATTCCTTCGTCTACATCCGCAAGGCTCAAAATGCTCTGCCCCACCTTGTGATGTCATGAAGCGGTAGTTTTCAAGTTTTCAAGTTAAGTTCAAGTTTTTGTTTTTTGTTTTAAACGGAGCATTGACAAAAAGAGGGAATCAAGCCTCTGAATGTACGATGTATTTCAGAACATGTTTGTACAGAGCTAAACTACAGGGTTAGCAAAATGTATGGAGAAAACGACTTTGCTATTTTGTCGTTTGTAGAGTAAATTATGGTACTTCTAAAAAATTGCAGCCTTTGCGGTTTGCTAATTGCGTCCGTACATCCAAATTGCGTTTTTTTTATTCCATTACAATTCATCTTACAGGCCTAGTTCACAGTGTATGCCCATTACATCTTTACTGTTATTCACTCACTTCTTTAATCCATAATATTATTTACAGGTATAGATTTAGTTCATTTGATGGTACCTTGTGTGTGCCCATGACCTGAGGGATGTAAGTAACAGTGTAGGTTTTCTTCCCTTCGTTCAGCTCTGGCTTCAGCTAAAAACAAAACATATTTCTCAGTTAATCCTTCAAATGAATCAAGCACATTTGACCCCAGTGTAAAGCCCTTTTGCCCCCTCACCTCCTCCCTGGTGCCGTCTGGGTGGTGGAGGTAAACAGTCACATGACCCTGCCCGGCGCTGAACGTGTCCACAGTGAAGACGGCAGGACGCAGCACTCTGTTTCCAGTCGGCTCGATGCCTAAAAGAAGTTAGATTTAGAATTAAAAGGGCCCATATTACACTATTTTCTGATCTGTGTTATAATGTTGTTTCTTCATCAAAAACATACTTGGAGTTTGTTTTATTCACACATGTTTAACGCACAAATCCTGCATATTTAGGCTGAGTTCTGAAACTGAAAACACTCTGTTCCACCTTGTGATCTCATGCAGTAAATACAGAAAGTGCTTCATTTGCAGGAGTCTCTGCATCAGGAGCGGGGGTCGGCTGCGGCTGCCGGGGTCTGTCCTGTGGGCTCCTGGTGGAGGGTTGGTGCTCTTGGGCTTCATCTCTCCCCTGGACCCTGTGGTGGTTCCTGGTGGTGGTGGACGGCTCCTCTGATGGTGCTTTCTCAACCCGTTCGTCTGTATTCAGCCTCACATTCTACTTGGTGGAGTTTTGTGTATTTTACCATGTTAGTGTGTGTGTGCATGTGTGTGTTTGGGTTGTTTGGTTGTGTGGGGTCGGGCAGCTGTGGGGGTTGGGTTGGGCTGGTGGGTGGATGGAAATGTGGGATTGTTTTTTAATCACTGTAAAGCACTTTGGGTTACATTTTGTATGAGAAGCGCTTTATAAATAAAGTTTGATTTGATTTGATTTGTCACTTTTACATGAGAGTTTTAATTCTGACAAAAAATAATTTAATTCTTTATAAAAACTAATTCTGCCAACATAAACACTTAATTCCTAATGTAAATGATTATTCAGAATTAAAATGTATTCCAAAGTGGGTGGCGAGAAGAAAATTCAGTTTGTCGACTGGACAAAAGTTAGTTTGGTTCAAGAACTGTCAGTGTCAGAACTAAAGAAGCAGCTTGGATGAGCTGCGAAACGTCTTCAACCAAACTAACTTTTGTCCAGTCGACAAACTGAATTTTCTTCTCACCATGGATTCTACCTGGACGACTGAGGGATTCTTCACACATCTCTCCATAGTGGGTGGTTTATTCCAGTTTTAAAGATGAATTAATTTATTCCTCAATCATGTAAAAGTCTATTCTTAAAAATAATTCCACGCATGTTCGTTGGGTCGCCCTTCTGACGCAATCCGGGCGATCCGGCTCCAGCAGTCCTGGCTTCGGACTTTCATCCACAGCTTTTTGGATTTGTGAGCGGGATGTGGGAGTGGGCTGTGGTAGAGCAGCCTTTTGACTCATTTTGTCTTCTTCCTCCCTTCTCCGACACTCTTCCCTTCTCCTCCTCAGCTGACAGACGTAAAGTGTAATGATGTAATTCACGATTGCAAAAAAAGTTCGGATCATGTTTGGGTCCATGGCGTAACAACAAACTAAGATGACAAAAAAGCCGGTAGCAGCTGAAGTGTGTGGTTTCTTCTAGTCGATGTAAATACGTTCGTGTCTCTGTCCAATCAGAACCCTTCCCCACCCCACATGTTGAGCAGAATTAAATAAAGACAATTTAACCTGTTTTCCATGTAAACCTCAATTCAGAATTATTATTTCCATGTAAACTTGAAGAATATTTTACTTCTGAACTATTTAATTCAGAACAATTCATTACGAATTAAAAAGCATGATGTAAAATGTGGCTATTGTGTTTTTAAACTCAATGCACCTTCACTAGAATCATTTGGATAATTTCAGTCCTGGACTTGTTATTCGCTACTGAACTAAAAGGTAAAAAGACAAGACGTTAACTTGAAAACTGCCACCACATGACATCACAAGGTGGAACAGAGCATTTTGATCTTTGGAGATGAGGACAAACTAATTATAGTACTCAACCATGTGTGTATATCAATAATTATTTAGGCTTTAAAAGGAATTATTTAAAGTGCACTGTAACTTTTCTGGTGAACAGTCCATCACTTTCTTGTCTCTTGGAGATTTTTTTTTACTTTGCCTTTGATGTTTCACACCTTGGCATTAAACTCAATTACAGGTGTTGCCATAAACTCCAGAGCTGGCTTTGTATATATTTTTTTTCCCCCATGTGTTTGAGGAAAATAAGTCTTGCCCTAGTACAGATATATTGTATAAGCAGCTCTTGAGGTCAAAATAAGTCCGCTGAATGCTGTCTGGATATAATCATATAGTATGGCAGTTGTTGTTAGCATTACAGTGACGGCAAAACTCTGATCAGAAATGTTTAAGTTGTGAACAGCACTAATAAACTCAGTGGTGAATAATTAGGATGCACTGAAGGAATAAGGTAAGAGGCATAACAAACTTTAGTTAAAAAAAGTTAAAACTAAGTATAGTTTGGTTTTTCACCTGCCTGTCTCCATGGAAATATATAATGCTTTGTCTAAAATGTTCCATAGTATATATTAAACCTATCTATTATGAGGGAGACAAGCAGGTTACAGCACTACACACAGAAAGAATTATTGTATTTTTGAGCGATAGAAATACCTGTAATTAATAAATGCTAGATGGAAAAGGTTAAACTCATATCACGGAAAATTCCAGGCAAAGCAATAACATCTCCATGAAGACAAGCAGAGTGGAGTCTCCACAAGAAAAGCTGCACAGTGCACCTTTAACATAAGTTTTTTGTAACGCCCTGCTCAATATGATGCCACTGTGTTCGATTCTGTCAGGAGCTGACCTCTGCACACGGCCCTCTGCTCACTATTGTTCTCATTTCCTGCTTTTGTCACTAATGAACTTTCCAACAGGAAGCAAAAAACATCACACACCAATATTTCCTGAAAACTTGATCATTATTACACCTTTGGAAATGCGGACAGAGCAATAATAAACATTGACACTGAATCAGGAGTGCGTGATTTAGTATTGATCAGGGATGCACTCATCCAGCTTTCTCAGTCCTGATACGATATCAAGACATCTATTTATTTGGACTTTTATTTATGTACAATTTTATATTATTTATTAGTTTTAGTCTTAACTCATTCATTTATTTCCACTTTTATTTATTTTTGCACTTATTTATTTCCACATCTCTACTTTTCCACTTCTTTTTCTTGCTGAAATGCAAATGAGAGGGCGGAGCTTCCTCCTTGTGTAGCTGCTTTTATTTGGGACTCTACCTGGTCTTTCACACTCATCGGAACAGTCTTAGATTCATAGAGATAAAAGAAAGATGGTGCCGTGTTTGGCTGTTACCTGGCCCGTAAGCGCGTGCCTTCTTGGGGTTGAGTTTGGGTTTGAGAGGAGCTCCAGGTTTGAGTTTGGCTTTTGGAAACTGGGACAGGTAGGTCATCACAGACTGTTCGTCTACACTGGGGTCGATGATCTCCTCTGGAGCAATCACCTGAAAAACACACAATTATAACAATGTACAATGTTGTTGTAATTAAGAATAAATCATTATAATACTTATGACTAAAAGCTGTATTTGATTTGAACATGTTTACCTCGTGTCTGGGGACAGGTCAGTTTGACTAAAGCAGGCCTATTCTACAAAATCAACTTTCTACAGCTTTTAACCATGTTTTAGTTGTTTCCCCTCATTATTTACCCTCCTAGAGTTGTGATTTAAAATGTCCAAATTATAATAATGTACAGGTGTCCTACTTATAACTATATAGCAGACACAAGCACACTATGTCTCCTTTAAATATGAACTAAAAACGCATAGACTCCATATGTGAGACATGTCGCTCAGAAGCACATTTGCAGGTGTTGCAATACAGTCTTTGTAACAACGTAATGCTGAAATGAACAAACAAGAAAAGGAAGAGCTCAGGTTTACAGTGCGTATGTTAATACTATGGGGCACATCAGACTTCGGCTTAGCTCCTCTAAATGACCATACCACCACTTTAACGCAAGTTTTAAACATAAGGAAATAAACTGCAACTCCCAACTTCCTCTGCAGCAAAAACAGGAAACTCTGAACTATGACCTTTGACCTTTAGGTAAATTTTACAAATTACTGAGCGGAGCTTTTCCTTTTCCTGGTTGTACCTGTGCATTCTTAACACATTGTTCAGTGGCATATTTGGTTTTGCATTAGAACAGGTCCTAGTCACTTATTCACTATAACTGCCTCTGTGTGGGGCTGCGTTTGACTTTCCCTCTCAGGACAAAAACAAACAGGCCTGTTTTATCTCTCAATTGTTACAAGTCCTGAACAGTGAAGGCCAGTTCATACATTATAAGATGTTTGCTCTTACATCTGCATACTGGCCGAGCTGTGATCAGATGGATTTTCAAAGTGGGAGTGGCTTCTTGCAAATTTATTTGTCTTTTGTGAAATTAAGATACAAAATTCATCCATTGTGATGAAAGTGTATACTACGACAATCGCCACAGCAGCAACATAGGAACCGTTGTGGGGGAAAGGGAGCAGAACTGAACTGTATGAACTGGTGTTTAGAAGCACAGACCTGGGGGATGCCGAGCCAGTCGTCTGCCAGCTGCATGGCCTCTGTGGCGTTCTGCACTGGTTTCACTGAGTCCCAGGTCTCCCAGTCCGGACACAGGCCTGAAACAGGACACAGGACGAATGGAAAAGTTATAATAATGAAAGTGATAAAATACCACATACACAATACCATATCATTATAGCATTTACCATATCATCAGTTCAGTTCACGTCATTTCTGTAACTGTACAATTATTTCATTGCACAATTTCTGCTATTTTAAATGTTAATAAAAGTACAGGTCTATTAATGTTGTACAAATTATAAAGTAAAAATAGAAAGAATCAGATTTTTCTGAACAATTTTGCAATTAGACTTACAATGTGTTACTAAAAATCCTGATTAAATCACTATAAACATGTTCTGGGAACTAACAGACAACCAGCTCATTTCAGAATCTGTTTGTGGAGGACTAATATCATCAGGTTCGTACAGTAGACCCCTGACCCACAATGCATTTCTCAGTATATTTTACACATATGCGGAGGTTACCTGGAGCACAGCTGTCCACCAGAGCTCCCAGGGCCCTTCCATCTCTCCAGTCCTGACTGAAGTTGGTGATGGGGAGGTCGGGCACTTTGTTCTGGATCCAGCCCAAAAGACGCTGCTTTGGGGTCTTGGACTCAGACTGTGAATAAAACACAGACAGTTTACGATAAAGTGGTTTATAATGACCATGATGCAGGAGGATTAAAGGTGCACTCAATAGAAGGAATAAAATCACAAATATTGTTTTGGGGATATGGAAAATTAGAACCATCAAGACTATAATTAAAACTAGTTAAGATTTTAAGAAAAAGAGTCAAAGCCTAGTCTGATCTGTAAAAAGGTGTGGTGGCTCATTTTATGGTCCATTTGTGTTTTATTTTAGACTTAACCCTCAACCAAGACAAGCACAGGCACATTTCAGCTCATTGTTGTCTCTGAAGCCTGGGTGCACCAAATCACTTTTTGGTAGAAGGAACTACACCTTAGGACAAAGTTACTGCACCATTTTGGATCTCCCATAGTATGACAATAAAGTGGAATTTATTAAAAGGTGCATTGTGTAACTTTTCAGGTTTGGAGTCAGCCCCCCATTGCCTCGTTGCAGATCTCACCTGTAAACTGGCCTGGTGGCATCTGCTTGTCTTTATGGAGATTGATAAAGTTTAATGCCATACTTTGGAACACTGCAGGCAAAGCAATAACGTATCCATGGAAACAAGCAAATGGCAGGCCTCTACCAGAAAGTTTACATAATGCACCTTTAACCTTCAGGAGTGTTTGTTTAAAAAATACAATTGACAAGGCTCACATGTCCACAGATCTGACCTGTAACCTGACCTGCATTTCTCAAGAGAAAATGTACAAGATTAATGCTATACTGGGGGAAATTCTATGGCTATAAGCAAAGCAATAACATCTCTATGGGGACCAGAAAAGTTACACAGTGCACCTTTAGTAAAATGTAATAATGTGAGAGCACAGACCTCCTCCTCCCCCTCCCACACAGGCATAGAGATGGAATAGTGCAGGATCAGGGTCCAGACCAGACCCAGGATCAGCTTCAGGTTCCCATCCACGATGGCCTTCGAGTCTGAAACGCAAACGCAAAATATGAGGAAACAAGAAATTATGTTGTCCAACAGAACTTTTTTTTTTTTTTTTCAGTACTTCAAACCCCAGATACAAACAAAAAGGCACCACACAAAGATCACATCCAAACCTAGCAAAAAAACATCAAATCACAGTTGTGAAAAAAAAAAAAAAACATTCATGAAAGAACTATGGGGGCAAATTCTAAAGCATGTAATCAATGGAACAAATTGACATCGCCCCAAAAAGGATACAAGAAACCCGGCTTCTCTTTTTTGAATCAGGTTCAGTGAGTCAACAAAAATTCTTAGGTCATTTCTAAAGTGCGTTATATTTGGTTTTACCTTAAAAAATAAAATTAATTACATTTGTGAATAAAAAATTTACCTAAAATAAATTATTAATTCCAAATTCCTTCCCTGTCGTCCAACAGAACTAGAACTAAACTTTACATTTTTGTAATTTCATTTCTTACAATAAACAATATTTAAAGGGCCCATATTGCGCTATTTTCTGATCTATGTTCTAATGTTTTTCATCCCAAACAGACCTGGAGTTGTTTTTTGTTTCATTCACACAGGTTTAGCACACAAAACCTGCAGATTTAGGCTGAGTTCTTCTCTCAAATGTAAAACACTTTGTTCCACATTGTGATGTCATGTGGTAATGCAGGAAGTGTTGTGTTTTTAAACTCCATGCACCTTCACCTTGAATCATTTGGATAATTTCAGCCCTGGAATTGCCAATCTGTCAAAAAGTGGCTGTTAATTTGAACACTACCACTTAATGACATCACAAGGGGGAACAGAGCATTTTGAGCTTTGCAGATGTAGAAAGCCCAATCCAGGATTACTCAAACATGTGTGAATGAAACAAAACATAACTCCAAGAATGTTTTTGAGGAGGCTACATTATTCCAAACATGGCTTAAAGCTCACAAGAGTCATCTTTGTGTAATATAGGCCATTTCTAAACTTTCAGAGATGGATTTAAAATTGCATGTCTTATGGTCATTGCTGTTGAAGAAAGATTTCAAATTATTGTTTTTATTAAAACGATGCACAATGCAAGTTTACTGGTGGACTCTTTGTCACCCGCTTATCTCCATGGAAAATTTTAAACCTGTTACGCGTTTAAAGGTGCACTGTGAAACTTTTCTCGAGCATGGTTTGCCACCTGCTTGTCTCCACGGAGATGCTTTGCCTGGAATGTTCCATGGTATGACTTTAAACATTTCCATCTCGCATTTATTCATTATAGGTGTTTCTATTGCTCAAAAACACAATAATTCCTTTTGCGAGTAGGGGCGACTCTCCACAGATCTGAGCTGTAATGTAGTAGTGCTGTAACCTGCTCGTCTTGTGATAGATTTAAAGTTTAATTTGTACTGTGGAACATTCTAGACAAAGCAATGGCATTTCCATGGAGACGAGCTGGGGGCGGAAAGTCAATGAGAATTGTTACACAGTGCACCTTTAAAATGAGATCAGATTTTTAGATCAGCACATTTTTGCAAACTCCCAAACAGTGAGTAAAAAGACCAGTCCAGTACATTTGAATCCACCCCCAGATAACAGCCATTTGAAGAAAGAACACAGTGACACCATTAAAAAAAATAAAATAAAAATCACAAAATAACTAAAGTGTGGACTCACAAGACTACACCTGCACAAAAAACAACTATTTACACAGGAAAAGTACTTGTAAACAATGTATTTATATTAAGAGTTTAATCTGGCTTTTTTTACACACATATACCCAAAAAATTAATAATAATAATAAAGGACTGCGGCCCTGAGAATAAGACTGTAGGGTTGTCAAAAATACTGAGAAAAATAAATTAGATCGACACTAAAACTAGAATTAAAACTAGATACAAATTTGAGCAGGTATCGATACTAAAAAGTCTCATTTACAAGACAGAAATGAACTTTTCCTGAATAGCTTTAGAATGATCCTGTATTTTCCAGGCTATTGGGCACACTCTTAAGCCTCCAACCCCATCAAAAAACGAGTGTGCTCCCCACAATCCAGAGCACCCTGTACATGAATCCACTCGGGTGTCCCAGCACGACTTCAGTAAACTACAAAGCCGCACCACCCGCAGATCACGCAAACACACACGGAGCAGACAGCGACCGCACAGCGAAACACACCCACAGACACACTCATCACTCCACACCGACGAGGAACGGAACGGAGGAACGAACCGAAAAAGCGACTGCAATGTGCCACTTCTAGACACGACTGAACAACTGAGTCACTGCGAACACGCCGACAATCCAGCGGTCCCAGACAGCACCCTCCCTACACGCCACAACTGAACACAGCCCAGAGTCACCGTGAATGCGACAAAACTAAGTCCGACTGACCCATCCAACTGTTGTGTTTCGTTTAAAGTCCAGTGCAGTTTATTTGTGAAAAAAGTTCGAAAATAGACCATTCAATGACAGTGCGCCTTATAATCCAGAGCGCCTAATAGCCCGTAAAATATGGTACGTAGACTGGAATAATTCAACACACTTCAGCTGCTACCGGCTTTTTTGTCATCACGGTTTGTTGTTACACCACAGACACGAACATGATATGAACTTTTTTTGCAATCGTGAATTACATCACTACACTTTACGCCTGTCAGCTGAGGAGGAGAAGGGAAGAGTGTCGGAGAAGGGAGGAAGAAGACAAAATGAGTCAACTGCTGCTTTACCTCAGCCCACTCCCACATCCTGCTCACAAATCCAAAGAGACGTGGATGAAAGTCCGAAGCCAGGACCGGTGGAGCCGGATCGCCCAGATCGCGTCAACGAACATGCGCGGAATTATTTTTAAGAATAAAGTTTTACATCGAACACGCCAACAATCCAGCGGTCCCAGACAGCACCCTCAAAGTCAAAACAAAGTCACACTGACCCATCTAACTGTTATGTTTTGTTTAAAGTCTGGTGCGGTTTATGTGTGAAGTAAGTTCGAAAATAGACCATTCAATGACAGTGCGCCTTATAATCCAGTGCGTCTAATAGTGCAGAAAATACGGTATAAGAGCACATTGATTAGTATACACCCATGGACCACTATGGAACACAGATATGAGGCCACATGATAAAATAAAAGAATATACTATTATTTAATGAATAATAATCACATTCTATTGTCTAAATAAAGAGTGTTTTTATTATCATTGCAGTATCAGAATCAGTATTGAGTATCAAGTCTAGTACTTAGTATCAAAATAGAGTTATTATTAAATTATTAACACTGCAGAAACAGGATTTTATTTTTTTTTTTTTATTTTTTTTAAAGGTGCACTTTGTATCTTTCTGGCTGTACCTGTTTGTTTCTATGGAGATGTCCTGGCCTGAATGTTCCACAGCACAGGTGTCAAACATAAGGCCCGGGGGCCAGATCCGGCCCTCCAAGACCTTTAATCTGGCCCTCAGCTGATTTTCTACTAAAATATTGTAATTATATTTTCTATTAAAATCTTGTTAATTTTCTGTGGTGTTTATCACAGCAGCGTCTCCAGCGTCTCTGTACGTGGCCCCTCCCACCAGAGCAGCACAAATGAAGACTTGTCTCTTTCCAAACGCTCTTAAAGGACGATCGTTTTGACTGTTGACCGTGACACCCTCATCAGAAAAATGTCCAAAATGAGAAAAGTGGAGCCGAGTGCAGGATTTTACAAGAAAAACTGACTTATTCCTATTTACATACAAGTTCATGTTAAAACATTGTGTTGAAATTGTATTTTTCTTAAAGTTTCCGGTTGTTCATAATATTATAATATTTTGTAAAAGAGTTCATCAGTTAAAAAAGATTTCTGTAATAGATTTGTGTTTCTCTGCACAAATATTTAAACCTATTGTTATTTTTGGGGTTTATATGTCATGAGTTTTCTGATCCGGCCCCTTTGAGATCAAAGTAGGTTGGATACGGCCCCCGGACCAAAATGAGTTTGACACCCCTGTTCTACAGTATGGCATTAAACTGCTCTACACTGCAAAAATCAATATCTAGGCAAGTTAAACTGACTTAAATTAAGAACATTTTACTTTATTTGAGTCGATTCAGCTTGACAAGTAACATTATCTACCAAAGGAATAAATGTGTTTTTCTTAATTCAAGCAACATTCAATTTTGTTTCTTATATTAAGTGCAAAAAGTTGTTGTTTTTCTTATCTTAAGTGCAGCAAGATGTATTTTCATATTTTAAGTACAAAAAGTCTTGCCTTTCACCTTACATTTATTCAATTACAGCTGGTTTTATATCTCCAAAATACCTAGAAAAGCAGGTGTTCTGACTCTGGGCGGGGTTTGCCTCTCCACAGATCTGACCTGTAAGTAACTTGGTCTGGTTTGGTCTCCATGATGATAGAAAAGGTTGAATGCCATACTGTGAAACATTCCAGACAAAGCAATAACATGTCCATGGGGAAAAGCATTTGACAGACCCTCCCCCAGAAAAGTTACACAATGCACCTTTATCTTAACCTTGCAGTCCTATTACAAAAGTCACAGACCCTCTCTCCAGTCCGCATGAACGGGCCTAGAGCTTACGTAACGCACTCGGAGATGAGGGAGTGGTTGAAGTGTACTGTTGAGTGTAGATTTCCTCAAGTGTTTGTGTCAACCCCGTCTCCGTGGAAACCATTGTACCCTGAAGGTCAAAGGGCATTCCAGTGTTAGAAATACAAAAACATTTAATGATAAGAAAACTAAATTCCGCTAAGACCTGCAAGATTAATCTCAAATCTTGCAGGTCTCAAATGTAACTTTTTTTACAGGAGCCCACCATCTATTTGTTACCACGGAAAAGTCAGTGCTTCATCCGGAATGTTCCACAGTACTGCATTAAACTTCAACGAAACCATCTTGCATTAGTTCATATGATGTTTTTTTTGTTTGTTTGTTTGGTTTTTTTGTTTTGTCGTCGCCTCTCCGCAGGTCTGACCTCTAACCTGGCCAGGTGGCGTCACATGCTCGTCTCTATGGAGGTAGGTAAGT